GGAGACTCGCAAAAGTTACGGCTGGTTCGTATTTTACGTAGCACTGTCATGGTTCGAGTTGGGGGTGGCTGGGAAACATTGGATGAATTCCTTCAAAAGAACGATCCTTGCAGAGGTAAGTAATACAATTCAAAACAAAACACTGATCCATAAGTAAACAGTAGTCACTTCAGCAGTCGGTGGTTAGGTCTCCTGTAATGTGGCTCAGTGTCTGGATTGTACTAGCAGTATGCCTTTGACCTAGGTTTGGAAACGAATGACCACAACATCTTGATGAAAATTTGTTGTGACCAGACCACTCATCATAACAATTTTTCATCTTAACCTGCATGACAAAGCTATGGAAATCACTTTGCTTTATCTTTATTAATGGCGACATAGTGACAGTCAGTAAAACTTGAGAGTTACATATATTGGCCCTGAAAAATCCAGTGGAGCCTCCTTAAACAGTTCATTGAAAATGTAGACAATAGAGGTCTTAATTTTACCGGCATAAGAACCGCCTGTACTGTTTTTAAACAGTACAAGTCATACATTCAAACGATTTAATGTTTATGATGCACTTATTTCACGTGAATATGCTCATGTACACGAAAGAGTTGCACACAAAAGTTGTTCTTGTTACTGTTTTCGTCCCACACTCGTTTTTACCATTAGTTTGAACTGTTTTCATTGCGTCCATTTATCTGAGTAAACTCTTTTTCCAGCTGCTGGGCGAACAAATGTAGAACTTAGAGAACAGCTGTCAAGGCCAGAAGGAGTTACGCAAGCCATGGGAACATTCACAAGCAAACGTTCCACTTCAGGGGCTAAACCATCTATCACTCGTGAGCACTCTGGAGCTCACCTCAAGGGATCTACTGCAGCAGAAAAACCCCCGGCGGGTCCCGGAAGAAAACCACGACACGATGTACCAAGTAGCGGTTACGGGATACGGCGGGAGAAATCAGGAGAACTTCGACAACCAGCTGCTCCTGCGCGGCAAGGCAGTGGAACCAGATTAAAGGGAACAGCTGAAAAGTCATCTTCATCCAGGAGACTTTCCTCTTCACGAGTCAAAAAATCTGAAAGTCAGACGTCTCTTGGAAGTACGGGATCCCTCGAGGATTCATCTGAAAGCCCTCGTGTATCATCGGGAATCCCTTCCAGCCCGAGTAGCACTAGTTCATCCCGTGGGTCTCCTGTGGGCTTGACATCAAAATCGGCCTCGCAAACTGGTCCCAAGAGATCAGTAAGCCGAGAAAATGTTCGCGGAAGCGGGACTCCAACCAAGAGTCCGACGAAAGCAACGAAAAATGGAGAAAAGAAGTAGCACAATAGCGACCGTTATAAAATTGTGTAAAGGGAGTTAATATAGATCGACGCACGATGACTAAGTAGATAGTGATTAAGTCAATTGTAACTGTAATTTCTAAAATTTGAGATGCATTGCAATTAGCATTACATTGTTATTTCACTTCTGACGTTTATATCAGAAAATAGAATCGATCACAAACATGCGGACGTCGTCCATATTTTTTTTACTGTTTGTAATAGGATTTAAGGTTATAAATTTCGACAATTAGAACATTTTGTATCGATCAAGGGTATGACCTGTGTAACTTGTATTTATAAGCTATAGAAAAATAATTATCGGAATCTAAATTAAGTCTTTTGTGAGTGGTAACATTTGTTTAAAACAAAACAATTAGCTATTTAAGATCTCTTTCACTGCAATTGTTCGTGTATCGTAGGCTTAAAGTCAAGGTTCATGCTTTTGTACTTTCACGTTTTTTGATGAGCTCGTGAGCTATGATGTTTAAACATTTTCTAGGAGTTTAATAAAGTTAATTTTATATGACCTATTTTGGTTTGTCATAAATCGTATCGGAAAGCACTTAACAGTGCTCGTTCTCAAAAGAGATCGAAACACCCACCCTTACTCCTTTAGCGATTTTCTCAGATGAAGTACAAAAGAAATCGTGCAAGGGGAAATTAAACGAAAAAACAAATTCATGCACTGGGCTAAAAAAAATTCATACAACGGACATAATCCTTGTTAGTCTCGCTTGAGTAAGCGACGAAACTCATAAGCTGCAAGTCATTTTTCGCCCCGGGGGGGTAGTCCCTTATATAGGCTATATAGGTATGTGCTCCGCCAAAGGGTATGTTTTTTTAAGCTGTACTGGTCTGAAATAGGGTATCAATTTCGACCATTTTGGTCTGAAATAGGGTATGGTTGGTGCACTCTAGTCTTGAATTGGGTATGTTTTTTAGAAGAAGCTACTTCTTCATCATTTGGCGATAAAGCCATTTCCCTTTTAATGTCGAAGCCAACCGTGTACGTGCCGTAACAGCTTGTCACGCGTTCCGGTCACGCGCCGGGCTCCAGGGCTTCAGGTCTGTAAAAGTGTATCTATAAATTTTTGATCAGGTCTGAAATAGGGTAGGGAAAATCACAGATTTTGTTCTGAAATAGGGTAAGGGTTTCAGGAAGCGTGCCGCACACCCCCACCCAATAATAGACCTTGTCCCGGCTTTCGACGCCATCTTGACGAGTAGGCAAACGCATGAGAAATTACAGTGTTTGTATGAGAATCTAATGTCGAATAATTTCCGTAAAACGGCTGTTCTGAACAAAATATCAATTGTAAACTAAAGCTACAAAGCAAAGGATTGTCCTAAAAAAATTTGGGGGCGTACCTGTGCTTAAATTTCTCCAGAGGCTTTCTTTAGATTTTCCATATATTTGTCTGTAACTTTCCCGCGACTTTCTTACAGAGAAATTTATAGAAAATTTTAAAAAGTGGTTCTAGGTCTTCTTGTGCATGTAACACCCTCAATTTTTTTCAGGAGAATCCTTAGGAGTGAAGATTTAGTTGACAAGATTTAGTTTATTCTGGAAGTACCCCCCGGAATTTTTGGTCGTCTTTAGGACACAAAAGGGAGGTCATTGTGCCTGGCGTTCCTTGCGGAGACCGTGGAAACTGGGACTATGAATCGTTGCGTGATCGAAGCAACGCATGTTTTGTGAAGAAAGCTTAGGAAAGATTAAGAGCTTTTCCGAAACGTGTCCGTCCACGAATGCTATCGCTTGATAGCGTTGATTACTTTGGAACAAGTGCTACCGAGTGGTCGAAAAAAATGAGAATCTTAATTAGTAAAATTGCGTCGCTTAAAAAGTGAATTTGCGTTCTTTTTACCCACTTTGTCAAATGTAGGCGAACCTAGGTACGGTCAGCGGTCAGCGAGTAAGATGTTTATTTATAACAACTTTGATATCTAGTTACTTTTCTGCATGGCCCAGCCACTCAGGGCGATTAGCTTTTGTTATTTCTGAGTGGCTGTGCTCTCTTTTTTTTTTCACAATTATTTCCTTTTAAAGAGCACAATAAAGATTGTTGTTGCCGCTGTTACCTAGCCTAGCCTGCATAACAGGCCCTTTATGACGCAAGCGAGGCAAACGAGGCATTCTGCGCAAAGTGCGAGACTCGAGGATAAGAAAAAAAATAAAGCGCCTGTTACCAGTCCGGAAGACCTTAGAAAACAATTACCTCAACCAGGTTGGCGTCCAGCGGTGTTAGTGAAAACAAGGTTTGGGTGGGGGGCCTAGTCTCTCGGGCTCATAAAACCTGGTCTCGGTCATTGTTATATGGCTTCTCTACCGGTTCTTTGTTCTGGCTCTTCCGCCCATCAACGCCCAGACATATTAACGGCGGTGATGATTACTCGAAAATTTTCACCTTTTTGGCTATACCAGAAACACCGAAAGCAGCATAAACCACAGGAAATGACAACTAAGAGGGCATGAATCACCTTCAATAATGTAAGACTCAGTGCAGCAAAAATTAGATTTGCTTAAATCACGCTTAAATCAATGATAAGTAAGTTTGAGTTCGCCGTTGACTGCAACGGCGACCTCAACCTCCTTCAAAATCACTCAAAAAACCGTTTTATACTACAGGTAAGGTAATTCAACGTTTACTTATCATTGATTTATATACATAGCTGAAGATATATCGGTATAGGTGAGGCAAACGGTAAATTCAGTACAATTACTATAAAATAACAATCGGCTACACAAACAGATTCTGTCGGCCCCATGTACCAGGGGCGGATCCAGGATTTTTTTTTAGGAGGGGTGCACTCGTCTCTTGCGCTACTTCAACACCAACAAACCACATAGTTTTTTTTTTTTGCAGAATACCAGTTGTATTAGAAAACCGCAGGTCATCATTTACGATCGAGTTCAACAGCATGAAAGAATGTACAGTAAAATTGTTATTGACGATTTTAAACCCGCACTTTTGCGAAATCATAAAAGACCATGAAATTCTAAGGGAACAGACCGCAAATAATTGTTGTTGCCTGTAAAATTATCTAAAAACAGTAACTTTTCATCAGTAGGATGCTTAAAATGTGTGCAATTCTACAATTAGTTTCGGCTGCATTAAATACTATACCAATTGTAGAACATTTTAGGAGGAACCACCCACAATGTGAGCACAGTTACTGACACTATTTATTAGTAAGGAAAAACAGTGAAAATAGCTATAACTAACCGTACGCGTCAACTATAAAGACCGCAGCAAGGTTAGCCGGGTTACGGTTAGGCTTGTTCCAGTAATTGCTCCACTTTATTGATTTCAATTAATTATTGATTTGTTTGACTTGACGCACTCATTTTTCGATTGGGCTTTGCCGTAGGCAGCCAAATAAGATCTCCGCCTACGACTGCCCAAATGAAAAAACCATGCCGGCCGAAAAGAACAGAGCGGCTCTGCTCGCGGGGTACCGGTACAAAGTACTTTTCCTTTTTTAACACTAAAATATAATAAATACTTAAAATGTTCCGAAATCCGTTCGGTAGGACTTGAAGTTATACCAGAGGAAACTCAATTTCATCATATCACAGGTTTGTCATTTATTTATTTATTTGCCCTCTCTCAGACTGATTACAGAATAATCATAATCATTAAATAACCAAATAACTAAACATTTATGTAAATACGTTTATCATTTAGTAAAAATGATTGAAATTCCAATTTTCTTGTTTTTCGGAGAAAATGAGCTTTATTTTCCTTTTCTGAATAAATTGGATGTTCTGATTTCAAATTAATCACAAGTTATTTTCCACTTGTTTTTTTATTTAGTTTTAAATTTTTCTTACAACTGTTATGCATATCATTAGTGCTGCTGATTTTCCCGTATATTCTGCTCAAATCGTGCTCGAAAATGCATTATTCTGCCAGCAGAATACTCGCCTCAAAAATCACTTATTCTGCTCGAAATTCTGCCGGCAGAATTTATCCAAACCTACTTACGACTAATAGAAATCTGAGGGGAAAAGCACACATTTTACAAGCTATCAAGTTTAACGCCCTACGACTAATTCGTTGCCATCTTACGTTAACAGTTAATTCTATTACTTTATGACCCCGCTTGTTATTTTGAGGTTCCATAAACTGAGCGAAGGCTTCCTATGCAATAGCCAATCGTGAAGCTGAAGAATGTTTCTCCTTTTCTCCACACAGCTTGCGAAACATTCAACACATTGAGGAGAATTTCTTTTAAATATCAACGTGGCCGGAGTATCAGGCATTTCTGGAGGAAATGGAAAAAGAAGCGAAAAAGGGAGAGAGCGAAAAAATCTCCTCTCCCCTTAGGAAGGCCTGATACTCAGGCTACAATCAACGTTTTTTCACTTGTTTGATTAAGGCAAGGCTCGCCTAGATTAGCACTTGGTACGACAGGTCAAAAATTCTACCCGAGTTGAATAAATAAATGTATTATTCCTTATATGTACGTATGTTCGCATGTTTTTGGAAAATTATAATAGACCTTATTCACAATAATCGCCACCTTTCCACGCCCTCAGGACTGAGGGGATAAAACTAGTGTCACGTGGTTTCTAAAAGGGCAACAATGTGAATGAGGTCTATTGTAATGTCACCGAACCATTTCTGTTAGAAAATGCTTGCTACCAACGGTTTGCAGCCCTAAAAAATAAGACCCCCATAATGGAGGTACATTGGTCTGCCAGTTTCGCGATTGAATACTTTGAATAATTTTAAGTCAAGTCTGTTTGTATTTATCTCAGTCAGTCTGAAATGACTATCCCTCCCTTCCTCCAAAAGTCAAGTAATCGCTGGACGACAAACATCCTCCCGATTATGCGTCCGCCATTTTGCCTTTTTTTGACATACACGCTACTCAGAACCTCACTGGGCTTTCCCACACGCAGCCCAATAATGACAAATATCTTGCGTACAATAACAGGGAAACGTGTTCTAATAGCACGTGCACATTATAAGTCGCCCTTCCAAAAACGTGACCACCAGGAATAATAGTTTTGCGAGTGCGTGATTTTTTAAAAGATTTTATGACCTGTCTTGTTTGTCAAGGCAACCAGTTACTGTGATAAAAGCCTCCAGGTCTTTGATAGAAGACAGCTTCTTGGCAACAAAAGACAAAAAGAAATAAACATGAGAAATGAACGTGGAAAGACACAAAAAATAAACTTTTCAAGATAATAATTTCTCCCGCAGTGTCAGAATTCCAAATTTCAACGTCAGTCCTTAAGCATAATTCTTCATAACTAGCTGGTGATGTCCAAATTTGGAAGATGCTTAGAAAATACTTTCACTGATGTCAGTCACTCACCCGTCAGTGAATGTAAATTGCACATAAGAACAACAGTGACGTCACACAAGACAGCAGCGCCACAGCTTAGCAGTTTGGCATCAGTGACATCAGTGCAGAACTTAAAAAAATGGGTGAGAATGGTCATGGCTATGCAAAGACAAAATAACCCGGTTACTAACTCAAAAATGAATCAAGAGGGTTGCGAGGGTTGTGCAAAGACTGACTGCCGGGTAAATACATCAAGTAGGCAGGGAACCAAACAGCTAGGGATATTTTTTGCTCCATTTTTCCTCCATCTTTCAATTTAAGTAACCAGGGGAAATGTTCTTAATACCCGGGGAAAATCTCTGGCCCCCAGCCCTTAATAACAGCCCCACCTACATACTCCAAATAACACGAAAACATCATCTGCATCTGTATTACTACTTACCATCAACTAGCAACAGTACACAATATACGTGTAAATCTCAATACATACTTACCATAAAATCCCCAAAGAAATAGGAACCAGTGGAACTGAGTCACATGTTTTCCTCCATACAAGTTTATTAGGAAGGCAAGGGAACACATCAACACACTGATGTCAACTCACTTAACGGTGAACTTTCCTCCATTTCACTAGAGAAAATGAAAGCAAAAATGGGTATGGTAAAGTCTATTTTTCACACTTAAAAGCAACAATATGATCTGTTATTATATTTCTACCACTTTCCTTTCATCTCCAGGAGAAGCTATATTATTTCAAATTGTGGTTCACGCATTATTAAAAATACATACTATAGCATTCACAAAGTGTTTACAACATTCAGTTTCAAATTATCAACATGTTAACTTTTTCATTTGAGTGAAACAAGTTTTTACATTGTTTGGCTTCCATTAGATTTAAATTTACAAGAAAATTTCCCAGGTTACTGCTACCTTAACATAAAAGCAACTGGGCATTGCTCTTCAGTTCAAGTTTTGTAAATTTGCATTTCAATTCAGTTCTTTTGAAAAAGAATGTAATCCACCTTAAATAATTACAGATTTTATTTAATACTGAGGTTATTCTTGAATAACTAAGTAAGCAATAAAACAATTTACCTTTCATATCATTAGCCATCAGTAATGGAGTCTTCCTCGAGCCTCAGATTGCTCTCAAAAGCCTTACTTTCCATATTAGGTAGCAGACCGAGTCTTCAAAAAATTAGCATTTTGTTACACCTATTCCGACTTTGTTATGAGTTTTCTGGTGTTAGATTACATGGCAATGGTCCTACAACCACAAGATTTAGAATCACTTTGAAATTTGGCTTTTATGATTTACAAATAAGGATTTCGTTTAGAAATGACAGCACTACTCTGGGCCCTGGAACTAGCTACTGTTAACATTTGGCTATAAGTACTTATAGCAGATCTTAATCCCCAGATGTTCAAAATCCTGGTACAGCAGTATAGTTGAGTTAATTTATGATCTACTTCAAGTACACAATTTTTTTGGTCAGGTTTAAGGAGCACTTTGGTGACCTTATGAAATTATCAAGCAAGCCACCTCCGCCATTTTTAACATACAGGCAGACAAGTAAGTAGAGAGGGATTAGAAACGTTTAATACAAGATATTGTTATGGAGATCAGTAAGCTTGCAAAAGTCACTGTAAAAGATCCACTCAGAGGGCATTTTGAAAACTCCATCTTTTTCTAGACGTGTCCATAACCAGCAAAAAAGATGCTAAATGTTGTGACAAATTGCTCTATTTTGCCCTTCTGTGTTGGTAACTTACTGAATTTGTTCTTGTTGTGGGGAGGGGCGAATATGAGCCTTCATTACTGGTCGCATATAACTTTTTAAATAGCTGCTTTCCCAAGTAGAAAGCCAGAAATATACCTGGGGCAAATGGAGTCTCAAAAGTGCTTTAACCCTTACCACGTCGGGTTAAATACCTTAGATTTTGTTTATACACTTGGTCATGAAATGTTTTAAGCAATTCTCACTGTAAACAATACCCACTTCACTCAGTTAAAAAACAAATGAGCCTTTATTATTTGAAATAAGCGTAGAAAAAAGCTTTACTCAAAATGCTTTGTAGCTTGTTAACAGTAGTGAAAAAACAAATGGTTCAAAAACATAAACATCACATTAACTTTATAAAAATAGATGAAAAACTTTCCCTAGGGGCGCATTTATGACCAAAGTATTGGTTTAATTTATTTTGGAAAAATAATCATCTTATCACAAAATAGTTCTTATGAGTCTATTCCAAGTTACAGCATTTAACATGCTCTGTATAAAAATAATAGTTGACTAATGATACCTGACTTCTTTGTCTCATTGTGGGTTTACTGAGTTTTTCAAAATCAACAGACGGTTAAACTCCACACAAAGTATTTACTTTATGGTTATATCCTGACATGAACATTTTTTTTAAACTGAGAACGCATAAAGTAATAATTCAAGTATTAAAAGCTAAGACCAGACTGTTTAGTAAGGTTGTTAATGTCTTTATTCAGTTCGATTTCAATCATGACAACTTTAAGTTACTGAAATTTAACACTAAAGTTTTATCACAAATGAAATGTTACACAAGTTTACGTGTGGTTTAAAGGTCTAAGTTGCTTGCAAATAATTTCAAAAATATTTTTAAAACAGTTAAAGTTTATGTTTGTTTAATTCCTGAGGTGAAATTCATTTTTCAGTTTACCAAAACTTTAGATTACCAGAGGAATTTAAATCTTTTTAAACAAACAGTTGAGTATCAAATAAACAATCACACTTATGTTAAGCAGATATTCAATACTTTTGAGTAGCTTCACGACAATGGCTTTACTAAACAGGTTATGATTAACTTACCGTTTGAGAAATGAAAAAAAGGGAATAAAAGTGGCATGTTTAGGCTTTCTAAGGCAAAAGGTAGTCTTTTAACTGTTTAGTGAAAATAATATTGGTTGTTAGTTTATCTTTACCTAACCTTACAGGTACTACAGTTAATCCACATGTTAATCTAACTTTACTGTGAAAACTGTGTACAGAATTACCCTTGTATTATAGGGTTATATAATTACGTGATAAAATTAAGATGTCAACATTTTCCAAAAAATGACTTAAAATGCACTCAAATGCAAAGTATGAAAATATCTATAATTATCTAAATAATTTTCAACGACAATGCAGCTGCATACTGCCACCTTTTGAACAAAGACAAGATTCGATTCTCTACAATTTGTACCAACAAAGCTGTTTTTGGGATAAGAAACCTAAAAAAGTTTATATGTGGTTCAGTAAGGGTAAGCTGCTTCACGAACAATTTTCTTGACAGTTCGAGCAGGAGGAGCCTTGAACGTTGCAGATGAACTCACTGGAACTCTGGTTGGAGCTAAAATAAGAATTTAAGGTGAGTTTAAAATTAAGACATTACTGACAAGCTGAAATAAATTACCGGAAGCTCTTTAGTTATTATGAGTAAAATTTAGTCATTGTATTAATTGTATATTTAGGACATAAACCTTAACAAAAAAACTGTTCTAACAGAAAAAAAATATTTTCAAAAGAAGTGCCCGGAAATTCCCCAAAGCAGGACTGGAAGTAAGGTCAAATTAACTTAAAACGTTTTTGGTAATGCAAGCTGCAAATTGCCTTTATATTTCAGAGATTAAGTTCATCTTTCATGAGTCATAAATATGTAATATTTTACCATCAAATTGTTACACACAAATTACAGTATTTACTAGGTCAACCAGTAATTACGCAAAGTCTACTTACTAATTTTTTGTTTCCTATATAAAACAGAAAATTATAGTACTTTCAAAACATTTACGTGCACAGCAACTAACATGAAATATTGTACTAATGACGCACAAAACAAAGGTCCTCAGGATTTAAATGCTGTACAAAACTCATGTTTAGATTTGCCATTAAAGTATATTGTCAATCATTAAATTTTCAAAAGTTTAAAATAAGTTTACAGTCTATTTTTTATTAGCCCAATCCTGATGGCCACACTAGGAAATAATACAGTTTTGTTGTAATTATTACTTATTATTGAAACGTGACTGTTTGAACTGTCTGCTGGAAAATCACTCAAGAGAGGATTCTTACCTGGATAAGCTGTTTCGTACACTTCTGGCTGTCCATATTCATAATATAGCGCCTCCCTGTAAATTCCAATTAATTAATTACAAAAATTACAAAACTGTTTTGATAAATTATTCACATAGGAAAAAAAACAAGTCGTGTCAAGTGGGTGAGGTGAATTCTGTAGTCTAGATGTAATACAAAATATCCACTTCCTAACTGTTCACTGGTACAGGCTTATCAGAATAATGATATGATGTCAATATCATGAATAACAATGGAGAGTGGGTATTTACCCATGTTCAGGAAAAGCAGCCTCGTATTCAAGTCCTGGCTCATAAGACTCATAACCCTGAGAAAATAATTGATCACATTAGTTTTGATAGAGACCCCAAAAAGGGCTAACACTTCTTTATTATTAACAAAGTGATTTTGTTACAAACTGCCATGGGCGCCATTCCCAATATAACTGAGTCCAATATTTAACCTGCGAAAACGCTGCATTTTTGACGTCATTTCCTCGTTAAAGTCAAATTTCTTCCAAATTTGGTCATCAGTGGCTGGTTATGGTGAATTAAACATGTGCTTTTAGCCAATCAGAATCGGGGAAATATTTTGAATGAATAAGGGTCTTTCAAGTAAGCAGACCTACAATCTGAAGTCAGCTTTCTGATAGAAAAATTTAGAAATTTTAGTGCACTGTCCGAGTATGTGCAGAAATACCTTCCAGTTTATAATTTCAGTTAGAAACTCCCAGTGGACGGACCTATTTTACGGCAAATTATAAAATTGGTTCCTCGAATTAGTTAGGTTTTAAAATCAATTTAAAGTCACAAGACTTCAGGGCAATTTATCGATCTTTCCATCCTACAGGATGTGTGCCAATAATAGTCTGTATTTTGAGATTCTGTTTTTCTTCAGAGAGAAGGATGAAGAGGTAACAAAATCACTGTGACATACATTGTACATAATTTGTAGACTTCAACAAGAAAGCAAGGAAAACACAGGAGCACCTAATAACAAAAAATTAACTGCACACTCCTACTGATTTAAAATAGATGTAACTTGGCAGATAAAGGTGGGTTTATCTTCTAACAAGTACCAGTAATTAATATAATTTATTATCTGTTACTGCTTAGCATAAGTTATTTTATTATTGTACTAAATGATCATGTCTCACTGTTTAAAAAATATTAATTGGTGACAAGTTTTGCTTTCAATTTAGCTCTATCATTACTTTTATCTTGGTTACTGATGACCTCAAACTTACAATGGCTTGTTCCCCAGGAGTCAGCAACTGTTGTACAACTGTTGTAGGAAGAGCACGCATTGCCTACACAAGTGAAATTTGCTTAGGTTTGCTAGTTACAGTTTTATTTTTATAAACAGTGTAAAAACATTTTAAACTCAGATCACTAGTTTTTTTCTTATTTACATCCATAATATAAATGTTAAACATACGATACAACTTTACTTGCATTCTATACATACTGTTTTTTTATTTTTGCAGCTATCAAAATTATTTTAATTTAATAGGAAAAGTGAAAAACCTGGTTTTGAAATAAAATGGTTCAACAATCTCATACAACTTCAGTCACTCACGATAACTTTTAAAAAAGTCCAAATATTGGGAGTTCGAGTTATCGGGAGCTCAAAGAAAATAACTGAAAATAAGGAAATAAGCATATAGGATGGGGATGGAATGCAAGACAGTATCATGCACACTTCACTTCAAGGACAGCAAGAGGTATTGATATTTTGGAAGAGGAATTCAAGCAACAAAGCTTGAATAATAATACAGGGCTGGACATTGTATTTGTCAGAATTGGAATGAGAAAAAGGTAAAGTCAAAGAAAACATACTTCTTTTGAAAAAAATTCAATGTAAAATTTTTTCCTGACTTGTCATGACTTAAAACATGGTTTCAGTTATCAAGGGTAAAATTATATAGAAATGATCTGAAGGAGAGCCAAAATAATACTTTGAGTTACTGGGAGGTTCGGGTTATTGAGGGTTCAAGTTACATGTACCAAGGATAAAACTACAGTAAATGTATGAAGGCCAGGGGAAATAAATTTTGGTTCGAGTTAGTGTGAGGCTCGAGTTAGTGAGGGTTCCAGTTAGCGGGAGTCAATGGTAGCAGTAATCAGGGTTTGTGATACATTCAACTTTGTACCAGTGGAATTAAGGTTGCAGATGAATGTCACCAATCAATTCCACTTTGAAATTGGAGAAATTTGTACAATTCAGATGGGTTTGACAGATTCTTATCCTTTTGTATCTGGACTGAAGTATAAACATCAATAACAACTAGCCTCCATATGCAGACATAATTGCGGAGAGAAGCATTAACCAGAAAATATCTGCACTTGCAGTATAGATAAAATAGTACATGTATGACAAGCTTGAAAAAAACGTTCAGTGACACTTGCAGTGTATTTCAAAAGACTAGAATGATTGTACATGCAGATGAATTGTTCGAAATAATGCTTATTTTTCGTTTTGAGACAAAGACAGGCTTTTGCCTTTGAATGAAATGAAATCAAGACAGACGAGTCTTTTCAGGTACCTTTTGTACATTATGGTCAAAGACATAACATTTTTTTAATGGGATTTATGTATTTTAAAATGTTTCGTAGACATTTTATACAATGCAATATTACCTTTAAAGGAAATTTACATGTAGGAAAGCACTGCCATTTGAGATGGATTTAGTGTTAAATTAATTTTTGCCAAGTGCTCAGCTAATTTAAGTGAAAGAATGGATCCATGATCAGTAAATGTTATGTGAAATGCTTTTGAGTACAAAGGTACTAGTTTTTTAAATAAAAATTTTGAAGAACTAACTTCTTTGTCTATTGTCTTGTGTTTGTGCATTAATAACATTAGTTCAAAACATGATCACAGGTCCACAGCAACAAGTGCTAATTAATGCTTCTCACAATTCACACATCACTTCTGTTACAAACTTAGACAATTTTAAAGAATCTTTACTTTCTGGTACACATCAAGCCTTTGTCTCACTAGATAAGGCTCTCATCTCTTGTGACAAGTCTAGTCTCATGAGAAGGTAATAACTTACTTTTAAGCAGTTAATAGTCAGTGTTTATGGTTTTTTTCATGTTCCAGTCACCTATTTTACCCTGGTATCTGGGATTAAGCCTTAGTATATCAAACTTGTTTGAAATCAAGAAATTTGTCCCACAAGCTACAGTACTATTCAAGATCAAAAAGAATAATTGTTTTATTATACCAGAAACTCGTAATGGGACCCCTTATGGGTTTCTGATTATACACACAAGGTGATCTGAACAGAATCAGAAAGAAAACCAATTAAGTAAGATTCAATACATTTCAACTTCACTAGCATAGATTACCATACCCACAAACAAAAGAGAAACAAAAATTACCTGAGATAAAAAAATTAACTACAACATACACATGTGCCAGTAAGCAGCACATACGTAAAAATTAGATCTTGACAGAATTTTCCTTTCCTTTGCTTAATTAATTTTTTTCTTCTTAGTAAATTGATTTATGTTTTCCTCTGCCCGCCTCGATTAGGCAAGCTTTTTGAAAGGATAGGATGTTTGTACGTGTATTTAATTTAATTTAATTTAATTTGTAACTTCTATGAAGATCAATAAACTTCAATAAACTAAACTTTTTCAAACATGGGAAATTCCAGTTCTAACCTTTAAAAGCAAAAATAGTAAAAAAATTTAAATGCTTCCACACCCAAGAAGAAAGGCAGAGCTTTGTTTTCTTCTGCCAACTCCCAGGTTAGTGAAAAAGGTTTCATGTTGTGCGGCCAAAGACAGCTTTGTTGCACATTGTAGTATTTCAGTAATCTCTTTATTTGAAATGTAGAATTTTCACAATCGCAATTTCATGTCACAACTACCTACTTAAACCCTGCATTGGGTCAACCAAAGAATGAATTATAAAATGAGTGCTAACTGAAAGTGGTCTCAATTCAATCTGATACAGACTGAATAGGGATTCCACACAAAAAAACAGAACAACAAAATACAGGAAAAGAAAGTAACATACTGCGTAAGGATCACCAGGTGCTGCAGCAGCCCTTGGTGCAGCATGAGCCACAGTGGGTGAGGATGGTCCTAGTCCTGCTGCAGATCGCGCTGCACTGACACTCACATGTCCTAAAGGGGGTCCTCTAGCCCTTGGAATAGAAGCTATACGTGGAACAGGAGCACCTCTACCAGGGTGTACAGGATGATGAGGGTGATGTGGGACTCCTCTGGCATGTGGACGACCTCTTAGAACAGGTGTGGCAACTGGTACAGGCGCTGCTGCTGGTTCTTCCATACCATTAAGTATTGCCATTTCTCTCATCTGTTCTTGATGGATTTCATCATTGTTTTCCTAACAACAAAGTTACACCAGTTTATTACTTATGTCAACTTCTTGATTAAGGACACTGTACTTACTGTTCAATGACACACACTTCTTTGCCCTCACTTTTAATTTGAGAAGCACAAGTAAATTTTGAAAGCTTTAAGGTTATCAAACTTTTACAGTTTGTAACATACATAGTACATGTAAATGTATCTCTGAGCTGTACCAGTTATTCGGCTATACATCCAAGATGCAAGACTCCCAACTCTTAGTTTTGCCCTAAGCCAAATAATCATGAAAATTACAGTGTATAACCAAAACAAGAAGGTGAAGGCGAATGCGTAAGTTTAAAATACCAAAATTCAAGCTTACCAAAAAAGAATTTTAACACGATTGTGTTGCCTGTCTATTAAACTCCATTAAGATAAAAATGCAGACACTTTAATGATAAAATAATTGTAAATTTCAAGTGAAAACTGTTGAAATGCCAATGGCCACATCGTGAAATCCTTCCTTAAAAATTCACCTTATTAACAAGCTCATTTAAACCAATGAATCATGAGAAAAAAATAATGAAGGTTTACAACTTAAAGTGTCTCTCACATTCATATTAACCAGTAGTTTTGAAAGGCAACTGGAATGTAACTGTCATGATGCCACTTAAGGAAAACAGCCACTTACAGTATATGACCCTGTTAATATGACCAAATTCCTATGGATCAGTGCTGGTGGCATTAATGGCATCCACGGTAGTTGTTTGGCAAATATGATACCAAAATATGATATCAACATCAGTATTGATTTTTATATTCATCAAGTACATCTTTTCATTTGTGAGCCAACATTTGACTGTACTACAATTGCCTTGAGTGATCATTACACATTTCCACATAATTTGCTGTTTGTCCTGAAGGACAGGTGAACTTATGTGGTGTAAATGCAAGTTAAAGTTGATCATTTCCACAAAAATTGTGATCATGGGGGTTTGTGATTATATGTTTAAACCTTTACGTGTCAGCCGACTCTTTATTGTACAACAAGAACACTTGCAAATTAAGTCTCGCTTGCTTGGAGATTAGATACCTTAAGACGTTGTGCACCAAAAATAATAACACTTTGAAAAGACTTCATACAAAAATACAGAGTCAGTTTTCCAAAATTCAAGACAAAAATCCTTTCGTTGGTCCTTTTTCATCACCTAATAACTTTAAAAACCTCACATAAATATACATGTATAAAGTAGCATCTGTGCAAACGGCTGATTGGTGAATGGTTTATTGTATTTTTCCTCAAGAAAAAAAGTTTTCTCGAAATCCTTTTGGGTGATTAAAATCCAAAAATGCTGGTGTCTTGAAACTCAAGACTCAAAAGTCGATTCATGCGTCTCAAACCTCAAACAAATCAAGTTTAGAGACGTGTGAATCAAGTTTTGAGGATAGGTTGACACCATCAACTTACAGCAAAGGGGAAACAGACATTGTCGATAAAGTCATCCCTATAAACTAATTACAACTAGGTTGAGATACCCTGGCTCCAGAGGTCCATTTTCGAAATGCAAATTACGTTAAAAAAACCTCTGGCACCCTGGACGAGGTTGAGGAAACAAAATTTACAAACTGGAAAAACGGAAATTGGCCATTGAATGTTTGCTGAACCTTAACTATGCTTCTATTCATGCCCTAATAAATTTGAAGTTTATCAATTAATTTGCTCCTAGAAATGTTCCTCAGGCAGCAGCCTTGACATTGAACACTATTAACAAATTGTGCTGCTTGTATTACATGTTTGTCAGTATTCATAACACACAGTACATGTACTTACAGGAACAAGAAATTTCTTAATCTCTTCAATAGCAAGACCTAATCTGGCATGAGCCTGGCCTGGAGGGGCCTCCACTTCAATCAGCACATGGAGATCTTCCTCCAAGTGAGCATGCTTTGGGTCACCAGAGGTACGCAGCTCTTCTTCCTGTGAAACAAGTTTATTTCTCAGATTCACTCCACACCCATGTAACATTGTGTAGAAGAGACATGGAAAGAAAAAAAGCACTGTTTCAATGAACAGCACTGTGTGAATAACTAGCTCATAATTTTCTATCAATATTGTGAGAGTAGGCTAATACATTTATGAAAGGGAGACAGCCTCCCTTCCATACCTTCACACACTAGTGCTAAGTGCAAGACAGCATTAAAATTCATCACCTGACATGTGTCAGGCAGGAAAAGATTTTTCTTGTGTTATTCACTGTCTTTCCTTTGCTTTGTGTGGCATTGTTGTAAAAAAAATCAAATACACGGCCTTGAAGAAGCTCGATAATCCCTCATTCTCAAGGCATGAGGGACTTACGCCGTAATTAATCAAGATAAATTTGGCGACGTGTTATTATTGTTAACCAACTGCCTTGCTTAAGTGGAAGGTGGGTGCCTGGGATACCAAGGGGCTTCCAATGACTGTGGCCAGCCAGCCCCTTGATAGAATGCTGCCCCTATATGGCTGGCAAATCTCCACAATCCAGACATGAGCCCCCATTCCAGGCACCCATCACACTGACGAAACAGAAATCTAACTTTGGGCTTGAGGAAGAACTACAAGGCTGTCATTAAGTTTTAAAACAGCCGTAGCAAATGGAGATTCACCCGTAACATCTCACATATATTTACAGTGTCACCTTCAGCTTTCAACTTTGATCACCTGTAACAACAAGTGAGCTCAGCCATAATGAGTATTACCGGTTACGAAACTTAATGACAGCTCTGAACTACATGTAGATATCACACTGCTTGTATGGTGTAAGACATGCAGACTTGATAAGTCAACTTTTGTTAGAGTAGACTTTCGGTCACAGGCTAGCCAATGAAGTTCTTCATAGGGATCACCGACATTTATGTGAAACCAGCAACTCAAACTGATCACGCAGAGAAATGGTGCAATAAAACTGAAAATATTCTCATTTTTTCTCCTTAAACAAATGGCATCATTTTTTTTAAATTAATGTGTCAGGTTTAGACTGTTTAGCTGCACTTTTAATTCATTTCTGAAGTTATCAAATTCTTTTGAACCTTTCTGAGATCTTTGAGGAATTTTCAACCATGCACCGCGCCAGTGAGGTGGCATTTTGTGCTAACACGAAAGACTTAAAAGATTTCCCTTTCATTCTTAGAGTCAATACGTTGTAAAAGCTTCATCGATGCGGAGATTTGAACTCTAACTCATGAAAATCTTTTCACATCAATCAGTCAATTAGGTAAACAGGAAGAATATTTAGTTACGATGTTTGATGTTACTGTCGTATTTGCATATTTGATGTCACTGTTTGTTTCTAAGGGAATCTCAATTTACAAAGTGTTTGAGTTTTGCTGGGTACTGTATGAGCAGTTTTAAAAAATCAAAAGCACTTCTTATCTCCACTGTAATCAAAATTTATGGGCATCAGCTTTTTACACTCAGACAGTTTTACAGTTCACTCGTGTAGTATGTTATATGCAAAAGTTTGGCATGTGCTGATCCTCCAGTTTGATTTTGCACACAATACACCTCTAAACAAAGAGTCTTGATGTTCACTGATGCATTTCAAAGCAGATGCGTATGTTTGCTTCCTGTATGTATGGCAAACCCTAGGATTTCACGGTGACAATAGTTTGCGATATTTCCCCTCTTTACTTGACTTTCCATCGGTTAATACCAGTCTGCTATCTACAAAAACTGATTACTGACCTTTTCCTTTTCTCTCATAGATCCTTTTCCCAGAATAGACATTTTAGTGCCAGTGCTTGCTTGTAGTCTTTTAAAAGTGTTGCCTCTTGGTCCGAGCAGTTTTCCTACAAAGTTAAACTACAGAAATTCCACAACATTAAATCAATGTGTCAATGAGTCACTGAAATCCAAAAATGGTTAAAATGAAAGGGTGACAGTGAATATAGCCTGAGTATCAGGCAGTTTTTTTGGGAGGAGAGGGGAGGAGAGAAGAGAAGAGAGCAGTAAAAGAGAGAGAAACAAAGAAGCTTTTACTAAAGACTTCTAACCCTACAAAGCATGATTTAGTACTAGCCAATCAACATTTTTTGTGGTCATACGGTTATCAATATGATAAAGTGTTGTGCTAAGTTCAAAAAAAGTTTGAGCTCACATAACATTAATATGAAGGGTTATTCATGGTCATTAGTTTTCCTTGTGCATTGTTGTTTGGCTAAACAAAAGACTACTCTTTTCTAACTGAAACGAATGTCTGTTTTTGGATGAGTTGAATTTCAGACAGATCAAATTTTATTCAGCCACTGGCAGATGAAATTTACTGCAATCTCGACTCGATTCTTGAGTCTTGGCTGATAATCACCCATCCATGCAGTACTTGAGTGAACATTATTTCTGAAATGAATCACAACTTCAGAGAAGGGACCTGAAGGCAGATCAAATTGATCAAATTTATATAATTTGATCAAAGTTTAGTCTTCATCCTTGCTTAAAGCTCCCTAATAATTATTCTGAAGTCCTGAAGTCCGTGGAATTTGCATACTCAGATGACTGTAGCCGTAACACTGCTTTATAGAAATTTTAAAAGAAATGAATTGCTTGTATACACTTATTTGTGTTGTATTAAGATCATGTGCTAGGCAACAAGCATCATGGAAGTGCATCAGGTTACATGTATATTGGCCCAAACAAAATAATGAACAAATTTAGCACTGTCAGTTTAGGCCACCAATTTTGCATGCATTAATAACTAACTTTCCCTGAAATTTCTGAAAGAAGTCACTGCAGACAAATTTCTGAAAGTTTAGTCTTCATCAAAATCATCACTCACCTTAAAAAATTTTAACTACAATCATCATCAAAAGTGTTGGGAAGGCTGCTACTTTTTACCTCTTGTTTTCCTTCTTCCCCCTACCCCTGGCCCAATGTTGAGAAAAACATTCATGTCTGTGCGCGTAATTGTTGTTATATCCCAACATTGAATAGGGGGAACGGGGGATAATTAGCAAAACAGAAAACTCTCTTTTTTGAGGATTAAAATAGACTACTGTTACAACTACACTGTATGTAAGTTGTAAAACCTTCCCAATTACTTTTCTCCAGGATTGTCTGAAAATTCTCGGAGTGGCCATAAATGATCAAAGGTCAACGACTTTCTGTCAGTAGGAGTGTCTTCAAAAAACACTCATAAATGATACTCCCTTGAAAAAAATATTTTGCCATAGCTTGCTAAGACAGTTTTTGGTGCATAAGCCTGTTTATATTTGCACATTTTGCAATCCTGTAAGTAAAACTTTTGCTCTGTCAAGGGCACAGAAAAGGGCCAAAATACATGTACAAATGTAAGATTATTTTCAGTGGAAGCTATTGACTATAGTATAGGCTGATCTGCTCCAAATAGAGCAAGATATAGTGCATTCGCCAGCTCCCAAAAACATTCCGAACACGACATTGCACCTGACTTTCTGCTCAGCTGTTCTCACACTCTTTGCAACATTCAGCACGAACATTCATTACCACGCAAGCAAGGTAATGATGAATGTCAAGTGGAGATTTGCCTTCTTCTAGAGGCCACTCTCTCCAGCTGAACAAATTCAGTTAATCCATTGTGGCACTGCTTTTCAAAACTGGTTTCAGAAAACAGGAACCAAGTACGCTCTGATTTAGGGCGAAAAATGCAAACATCACACACCACATTACTCCATTTTCGTAGCCAAAAATTATTCCTTCATATAAGCGCTAACGACAACGAGCTAAGCAGTCAAGCAGTCTACGAGCTTAGCAGTCAGGCAGTTTCGTGTACCACTTAACCGCTAAGCTCCTGAACTGCTTGACGAAGCGGTCTATGAGCTTAGCGGTCAATAATATTGGTCCACAAGCTAAGCGGTCAATCCCATTAGTGCAGGCTCACATGGTACTTGGTATTTTAGTACACTGCTAGGATCTGCGAGTTCTTTGTGGAACCTTTGTGTAGCGGTCTGTGGGGCAGTTGTTTTAGCATCTCCCCTTCCTCCCATTCCTTATTAACAGGTGTGACGTGTGCCTGGAGTGGGGGTTCATGGCTGGGTTGCAGGGATTTGCCAGCCATGGGGGCAGTATTCTATCTAGGGGCTGGCTGGCCACAGTGGAAGCCCCTCGGTATCCCAGACACCCAACTTCCACTTGAGTGAGGCAGTTGGTTAAATAGGCATTTTACCTTAACTATAAGTAAAATACAACATTACTCCATGGATGGCGTTAAAATTACACTAACTTTGCTAATTGACCTTTATGGGGCACTGTTTAAATCGAGTAATGTTGGAAATCAGTAGTTAAATTCACCCCTGTAGATAAAACAGGGTTGTCATTAAGAGCCGGGGCCCGGGTATTTTCCCCGGCTACTAAGAGAGTGTCCCCCAGCTATTTTTATTAGAAAATAGAAGAAAAATAGAACCAAACTAAATCCCCGGCCATTTGATTCGCCGCCTACTTGTTGTATTTACCCAACAACTTGAAATCTTAGTGACAACCCTGATAAATGCGATGAAAGCTGTCCATATTCCTACAGGGTTTACATGTTTTAGCCCTTTTCTTGTTTGAGAGTCGGTTCATTGCGGACATATTTCGCATTTTCTTCTGGAGTAATGCAATGGAGTAATGTGAAAAGTCATGATGTTTACTGTTCTGAAATTAACTGAATGATTGACGGGCGATGCAATGACAGAAATTTGTATATGAACACTGAATAACTTTTATAAGCATTTTAAGTTAATTTCCTTTTCTCAGACAATAATTTTTCCCCCTTTTTTGCCTTCTTCTCCTTGCCCCTGGGCCAATGTTGAGAAAAATGTTAATGGTGGTGCGTGTAATTGTTCTGTTATGTCCCAACATTGAAAGGGGAGACGGGGAATAACCAGCAAAAGAGAAAACTCTCTTTTTGAGGATTAAAATGGACCTACTATTAACCTGTACAACCTTCCCAACTACTTTTGTCTGGGATTGTAGCTCAAATATCATAATTTGGCCGCCTTAAATCTTTAAGTTAGGTTTTCACTGAAATCGTTGTCGAAGTCCCATGGCACCCAAACCAGAGGGAATTTGCTCAAATTAGAACATATATCTTTCGGTAATTGTGAAACTTTGATCCACGCATTCGTAACATCCAAGGTTGACCACTATAATATACTACTCTCAGGCCTTAAGCAGGATCAACTCTGAAAACTCCAGTACGTCCAGAATTCAGCAGCCCGACTTCGAACGGGCACACGTAAACACAAACATATTACACCTGTGCTAAGAGATCTACATTGGTTACCCGTTCATGAGCGTATTCATTTTAAAGTTTTACTAAAGACTTTTAAATGCCTTAATCAACTAGCGCCATCCTAAGTGACCTCTTAATTCACTATAGACCATCAAGGAGATTAAATTCGTCTGATAAAGAACTACTGGTACACCCCCAGTTTACTTTCCAAAATATGTGTTCATTCTAGAACCATTCTTAAAATCAAAACATTTCAGTTTTAAAGAAAAGATGCTAGAATTAATAATTGATGTGAAAACATTTAGCCAAGGATTCATTTAGTGCCGATGATGCGGACTTGTTCAACTGTTTGAGTCACGCTGTAGGTAGATAAACGTATGGTTACTGGTACACAGTTCCTCAGTTGCCCAAATCTCAATATTATTCATTGTTTAAGATCCATTGACTTACAATTAAAGTCTGCTAAAAATAACCATAAAATAAGAGCAATAAGTAGGCAATAAGCTAGCTTATGTATACAGTATACTAATCAGAAGTGTCAGAGATGCACACATACTCAGACACAGATGCATATACACAAATTGTGCACATGCCTTTCACAAGCAAATTTTGGACAGATATTTCTGAGCAGCATTGTACATGTAGAAATACATGTAATATTGCTATTGATTATTATGAATGGAATGGCTTTCAATGTCAATGCTTTAATGGTCACAAAAAGGGTACATTGTATGCACAATGAATGACTAAGATACATGCTTGTAGTAAATTTTAACACAAAAACACAAATAAAGTGGGACTGGTGAGGTTAAATCTACTGAGCCTGGCTATATATGCCTGCCACAATGCAAAGATTATGGACACATTTGTTACAGCAAAGACACTGTATGTGAATAATGGCTTTCCACTGTTCACAAAAGCAGAGTTTGCTTGGCATGTCACTTGTACACTGAGGCCAGTTGGTGGAACTCCAAAGACCAGAACCTCTTCAACAACACGTCCATCTCCATCTTCCCCTTTTTGTTAAAAACAGCAAAAGTCTTTCGAGATGCAACACAATTTTCCTCTTTCAAAAGAGAATCTTCACCATCCATAAAGTTACCACATCGTATAATCAAGACAATTCTCTCTGGTTTCCAGTCTCAAATAAAAAAAAAGCTGTTGATAAATTTTCAGTGCCACAAGGTCAGATGTCAGAGGCTGACAAGGATGTGAAGAATTAAGATCGAGATTAAGATTCCTGAGGTTAGGTAGGGATTTTGTGTAAGAAATTCCTTACCTTAGGCAAAAAGCTTTTATTGTGCAAATACAGTCGATAAAGTATGCAAGTAACCAACCTTGGGATATTCCTTAACAGGTATGAACACTTTTTCAGTCAACTTTGTTGGTTTATAGAGCTTGCTATCAAATACATCTGCTGGTCTACGGAACTGGTGTTGTGGTGGTGGTCTGGGGGTAGGTGCTACCTCTGCACTTGTGGTCAGCGGTCCCTGGTTGGTACCTACTGGGCTATCTGATAAGCCAGGTATAGAACTACCATTGGTTGATGCTGTTTCTTCTCTTCTTTCTTGCTTCACACTCACCTGTCCAACAGGGACAGCACCACCAGTTTGCATTCGGTTAATTTCTGGTAATCCATAGAAATAAAAAGATAAAAAATCACTGCTGTGTTACATGTAATACAGTATTGAACTGGTTATCTTAATAAAGCAACAATTTATTTTTCAAAAACTTGCACTGTTTATTTATTATTAGTCTTGCTTGAGAAAGCAGAGAGACTCATAATCTGCAACGCATTTTTCGCCCCGGGGGGGTACTCGCTTATATAGGCTATACAGGTATGTGTAGCACCAAAGGGTATGTTTTTTTAGCCATTTTGGTCTGAAATAGGGTATCAATTTTGACCATTTTGGGCTGAAATAGAGTATGGTTTGGGCACTCTAGTCCTGAATTGGGTATGTTTTTTGGAAGAAGCTATTTCTTCATCATTTGGCGATAAGACCATTTCCATTTTAATGTTTACGCCAACCGTGTACATGCCGTAACAGCTTGGCACGTGCTCTGGTCACACGCCAGCTCCAGGGCTTCAGGTGTGAAATGAGGTATCAAATTTTTTATCAGGTCAGAAATAGGGAAGGGAAAATCAGAGATTTTGGTCTGAAATAGGGTAAGGGTTTCAGGAAGCGTGCTGCACACCCCCACCCCATTTTTCTGAAAGACCCCCCCCCCCCCGTGCCGCGCCCCTGCGCCTCCCGTGGGTTTTCCGTTATCCGGGCGTCACAAACCTTGTGTCATCAGGGCCCGCGATCTTTTGACGACAAAACTAGCGGAAAAATAAATTAGAGAGACTAGTCGACNAAAGGTGTTGGTCCACAAATTCTATCGCTTGAAATCATCGATTACTTTGGAACAAGTGAACACTGAGGGAGTGGTAAAAAAAAAAAAAAAGGAATCTTAACTAGCAAAACTGCCATGGTCGGGTGTTGTAAACTGTCATTGTATGCAAATGGGTCTTGTGATGAGCATGCGATTTATGTTCGGCGATGATTGAAATGATGTGCCAAGTAAATCACTTTGATCTCTGGCAATGATGTAATTTTTCTGGAATCAAGGCCCTTGAATTTTCGTGTATTTATACAGGCGTATAGCCTTCAATGATAGATGTATTTCTGGTTGTCGCTAACACGCATACTAAATCAATTCAGAAACAAGTAAAAAGTATTGACGTCGATAAAGTAGGAAGTAAAAAATATTTAGTGAGTAAATCCTATTTCGTGAAGAATTAATCGCCTGCTCATTTCTCGATCTAATCTCCAAGCAAGTAAGAGTGGAGGCCTCTGTAAGCGCCCTCTTGTTTATTTTATAATGCAAGCAACATTCTGAATCAGCTTTTGAAAACTAAAACTCAGAGCAATAATTTGTCTTCTCACTTATTTAATTTGTTCTAGTCTTTCACAAGTTAAAGAGCTAAAAAAACTTATCAGGGTTTTGCAATGTAGAGTTACAGAAAATTTTGAAAATAGGGCTTTCAAATAGTCAGATGATAGAAAAAAAGTGCCTCTCAAAAATATTTTCTTGACACAAGAAAATCCAGACACATTTTTTGTTGGTTACACATTATTTTTTTAATTAAAAAGTACACACCAAAATAATAGTGTTCTTCAAGAACCCCGGCAGAAAAATTTTTCAATTCAACACCACACGATTTTGTTAGATTTTTTCTAAGCATTTAAATTTGTTGCCATTTTGGCACACTATTCGTCTTAGTCTTTTCTTACATTTGGAAGTCTCTCAAAAAAGAAGGCACTGTGACATAAATTAAGGCTTCATGCGGATTTTCAGGGGCAATACCTCACAAGTTTAACATTAACTACATCACCATTAACAAAGACTTGGAAAAATTTATTATGATCTGTTTTACAATGAAATCAGAGTTGTCATACTTTTGGCAATCAAATGACTACATTTCGTATTTTTCTTGTAACCTATGTTCACACACCACTGGACAAATTTTCAAACAAAATACCCTATCCATGCCATGCAAAGCCCTAATCTGGATTGGATCATTTTTGTGTAAAGTTTTCACAAAAATTCTTACAAAATCATAGATGCAAACTGAGAAATAGCAGCTTAGGAAAATGGTACCAATCCAACATTCAGGTCAATTCAGTCAGATTCTCATTTAGGTTGACATACGTCCTTTATGCAGAGAAAACTTTACTTAGAGGTTTTGAGGAGCAGAATGGGCCTTTTAATACAAGATGGCTTATTGTAGCATCCCACAATTTGCACTGAAGTATGATAAAGCTCGAAACCAAATCCAGTCGAAAGCAGTCCAGTTTCCTGGCCGAGATGCCCCTGATAAAATTAATAGGGACGGCTAATTGGCAGTCGCCCGTGATAGCTCGAAATTTTCTGCCTTTATGCCACAGGAACACCAGATTACGATGCATTCTGACGAAGCAAACCACTCTAACCAGAATTTTTCTCCTCTATTATGAATCATTTTAGGGCTAGGGAAAAAAAGGAATTTCTAAATCAAACTAGTTTGAATAAAGATTAAGTTGGAGACAGATTTTCAGATGAAATAGGGAAAAAATCAAATAATACCAAACATAACTTTGGGATGGCTTTTACAACAATGGTCTTTTGTATTCTACTGTAGCTGCGGTCGAACCAGAGCAGTCGATTGGAGAGACAGAAAGAAATATAAACGTGGTGCTTCCAAAGGCCGAAGGACGGCAGAAATGAATAATCTGAATGTCAGGGCCATAAAATATTTCACTGCATTAAACTTAAAATCACTATTCAGAAATCAAAACAAGATCAACAAGATTGTGGAACAAAATAATTCTCTCGAGGGTCATGCTTAAGCGGTGTAAAAAATGAGTCCGAAGATAATTTACGATATTGGAAAGTTACACCTTAACTATATAGTAGCCTTTAAACAAAAAAGCTGAAGTAAGAGTAAAGCTATATATACAAGAGCAGGCTTTTAGCTGCGAGCAACTGGTGGTTCCTGACCGCTAAGGAATGCAAATGTTCATGTCGAGCGGTGATTTAACCTCAACTTGAAGAGCATTCCCACTCACCTTCTGTTAATAAGCGCATCGAATGCACAAAGGAAGGATCTAAGTTGTCCTTTTCGGCTAAAAGCTCGGTAAGATAGCTTCCTTCCGCAGTCATCGTGAAGAAATCAGTCAAAATTTAACTTAAAATAAGTCAACAACGACAAAGAATGCAAAATGGCGCCAAGTTGGCAAGCTCTTTCATGCGTCAGAGAGCATTCATCAAATAATGCTGAGCGATTTCATGATTTTTGATTGGTTCTGATCAAACATTACCGCATTTTTATTGGCTCATCTTTCGCCACAGGTCACGAGTCACGAGGTCACGTAAAAATCATAGCGAGCAAGCTTGAATACACCGTATTCACAAATGGCGGACACGCGGGAAAAAACTGGTGCCTAGTCATGAAAGCGAGGCGTTGGAGGGTAAACAAAAATTGCAAATGAAGACTTTCAGTGAACTTGCAGAGTGTTTGGCACGGATTCCACCTAAAATAACTTTGTACGGACGTCTTTTTAAATACAATTACGTGGGATGTCTTCTGCTTTTGATGTTTAGTATTGATTTGCTGTTTGCAATCAAAAGGGACGCGTATATCTTCAAGGAAACAGGATGATTTTGTAGGTTTCCGAAGCATCAGAGGCTCGACAAGTAGGCGATGGCCGGAGAAAAGCGGCAAACATGTTGGCCCAAACTTCACATTGAAACCGAGTTCGAAAGCCAGCTCACTGCAATTCGGTAAAACAGAAATATAAACAATACAAATCTTGGTGGCAAGAAAAAAAGAAATAAGCGATGGATATATGGCCTACTTGTTAACGCAAGAGACGTGTGCCATTGAACAAAACAGTTCAAATCGAGATGGAAAAAAGGAAGACAGGAAAGAAGCGGTGACTGAGGTTTCGATGAAGTTATGTTTGGTGTTTATTTGCCAGGACGTTATTCTCTGGTCTTTATCGATGAAGGACATCAATTAGAACCATATTTTTGGTATAAATGCAGGAGCGATCGATCGAGTGGAGTACGCTCAAAATTTCAACTTGTTACTCGGCAGACTCGGTAAGCCGGCCACATTTCATTTCAGCGAGTAATTTTCCTATTTCTTATCTTTGGCTGTTAAGAGTTTTAACTTCATGTTCCATAATATTTTTAAAGTGAAGAATACATAAATAAATAAAATGATGGTCTTCTTAAACGGATCCAGACTCGCATTTAATGATTCGAAACAGAAGCTTGCCGTGTTCAGTCCTGACACAAACATTGCCTTAAAAGTTTAACCTAGTAAAATGTGAGCTTTATACCACTTTTTTACCAAGAGCTCTCCGAGATAATGCCGTAAAGGAGACCAGGCAAATAGCACGCCACAAGATTCACACACTAGAGCTTCTAGTTTTGATAAAATTATTTTATTTCGCAATGACAAAGAAATCAAAAGATTTTAAATTTGCACTGAATTTGCTAAGCTCTGCCAACGTACCTCTAACAATTCACTCCAAAGCGACAGAATTAATATCATCCAAAGGAAGTTGTAAATACAGACATACATAGATATGTGTAAAATGACACTGACATGAATGAATGAGTCTCGTGAATGAATCTTTCACCCGCTCTCGACTTGACCTGTTTTGAGTAATAGCGGAGGTCTCTTCCGTTGACAAGTAGGCCATATATCCGTCGCTTATTTCTTTTTTTCTCTTGCCACCAATATCTGTTTTTACTTCTGTTTTACAGAATTGCAGTGAGCTGGCTTTCGTATTCGGTTTCAGCGTGAAGTTTGGGCCAACATGTTTGCCGCTTTTCTCCAGCCATCACCCACTTGTCGAGCTTCTGAGGCTTCGGCAACCTACAAAATCATCCTGTTTCCTTGAAGATATACGCGTCCCTTTTGATTGCAAACAGCAAATCAATACTAAACATTAAAAGCAGAAGACGTCCCACGTCATTGTATTTAAAAAGACGTCCATACAAAGTTATTTTAGGTGGAATCCGTGCTAAACACTCTGCAAGTTCACTGAAAGTCTTCATTTGCAATTTTTGTTTACCCTCCAACGCCTCGCTTTCATGACTAGGCACCAGTTTTTTCCCGCGTGTCCGCCATTTGTGAATACGGTGTATAGCGGTTCCCAAAGAGCTGCAAAGTGGTGACTATTCTGGTTGCAATTGCGGACTTATATCTCTTTGTTTTCCTGTATATTATAGTAAAAACATCTCGAAGCCCGCGCCTCCTTTACTGGGCCGCCATCATCCATTCAGCAGCAGGCACTGAACATGCACAAACTAGGGCTGATTCTCCAAACTTTTACAATAGACCTTCTCACGGTTTTGGAAGCCATCTTGGCGAGTAGCAACCGCGTGAGAAATTACAGTGTTTGTAAGCTTTTGTATATGAGAATCTAATGTCGAATAATTTCCGTAAACGGCTGTCCTGAAAAAAATATGCATTGTGAACTAAAGCTTCACTCCTAACGATTCTACTGAAAAAATCTGAGGGCATTACATGCAGCTGCATGGGCCAGAACCACTTTTTAAAATTTACTGAACATTTGTCGGGAACTAAAAAATTTCCCGGGAAAAATTGCAGACAAATACATGGAAAATCTAGAGCAAGCGTGAGGAGAAATTTAAGCACAGTTACGGCCCCCAAAATTTGTTAGTAAAATCCTTTGCTGTGTAGCTCCAGGGTAGCTTTAGCTCACAATTCATATTTTTTTCAGAACAGCCGTTTTACTAGCCTCCCACGTAGGCGTCTTTGAGGGAGCTCGTTTTTCTTCCCTGCCCTTAAAAACGCCTGCGTGGGAGGCTACCGTTTTGCGGAAATTATTCGACATTAGATTCTCATTTCTCACCCGGGCCCGGGGGTGTTGGGGGGGAGGGGTACTTTAGGAACTTTTGGGTGGACATGTGACGTTGGGGCCCTGGAACCCCTAACCTATACCAGAGCTCAGAGCTGGTCCAAGTGAATTTTGCTACCCTCAGACACTAGACTAATCTTCCAGAAACTACTGAGGTCACTAGCACCGTCCGGCCAAAACAAAACTGATTTGATTTTTTTGCATTTAGGAGTGATAATTCCCTAGTCTAGACTAAAATCCTCAACCACTGGATCAGTTTCCTGGAAAATGATACCCTATTCTAGACTTTTATATACCCTATCCCAGAGTATTAAAACTGCTCGAGAACCATACCCTTCACAGCGGCACATGCCTGTATAGCCCATATATGATTACGTCTGGGTTCTTCTGTTTTAGGTGCCCGTAGATGGAATTGTTCCCTGCTAGCAGAGGTCTCTTACGACGAGGCGAGAAGGGAGCGCCGAAGCCTCTTCTCCCCATTCTTTGCACGTCTTCGCAGCACCTCTGCTTTCACCTCTGCTGCCGAAACTCCCGTGGGGGGACGGGTACTCAGAAAAATCTCAGTTGTACCAGGAGTTCGCGACGTAGCCTATGTAGCTGCCTAACTGGCGGGATTAGCAGACGAGTTGCTGTAGTTTTTTTTGGCGGCGGAGCCGCTTGAAGATTGAGAGCAAGTCAAGAAAGTAACCACTAAGTAACTTTCCGTCTCCAATGTAGCTTTTAACACCTTTTTAATGTTAGATATAAGCCCCTGCCCCGAATTTTTGTTATTAATCCCTGAAAGAAAACCGATTGAGCACTTTATTTAGCCTGGACTGACTAATCGAGAGCATAAGAACCTTTAAAAACCTACCATATTTACGAGTGGCGGATTAAAACAAAGTAAGCGGTAATCTAGTACATCCGCAACTGAGGGCGCAATTTGTATAACAAGAAAGAAAAACCGCAAGAATTATTAAACTAAGGTATCAATTCACTTGAACATCAATTTACTTTTTCTTTTCTGTTGTCGTGTTGTTTTTCTTTAGACAACTAAGACCTTATGGTTGGTCGATCGCGTATTTGCGGTGAAAGAATGTTTAGTTTTGGTCTTGATAAGTCACTGTAAAACCTCCTTGTCCAAACAGAAAGAGACATGCAATCTGGTTTGACACTCAAAACAATAGAACTAATGTAAAAAAGAGACAATTATTACAATAGATCTATTTGGCGACTAAACAATAAGAGAGAAAAGGTGTTTTGGTGTGAAAACTGATTGCACTTTATCGCTAATGCTGTGGATGCAGAGGGTAAAACCTTTCAGCTCTGGTGTAACTCTGATGTTTTGGAGAACAAAAGTAGAGCAGACCGTCCTTTTTTCATCCCGCATTATGTGTCATAAAATAGTTAGTAAGCGAGGACTACCGCTCTAAAAATATTTACATGAAAATCGTTTTCGAATAGTTTGGTTTCCCTGACAGGTAAAGTTGACACTGAATATAGCAGACAGACAATATTTTTCGCTCTAAATCACTGAAACTGAACTGAAGGCTGATCCCTGAAGTCGGAAAACTGATACAAAAGGAATGAAGGTTAGAAATGGTTCAAACTATTTCAACAACACCGGCGGCGAGAACCAGAAGGATTCTGAAGCCAACATCAATGACGATGAGATCTTTTTGTCTTCCATGGACAAAGTTGTAGCCTTCTCCATTGTTTATGGTGTGTTGTTCATTGTGTCAGTTGGAGGTAAGAAACCTGAGCAAGTTATTTCAAAAGGTCTTCGATAGGTAAAAGACATGATGAAAAAAATTTTTTTTGGTAGTCCTCTTTATTTAGAGACTTAGGAATGCGTAGAATGAACGATCCAATCAAAATCCTGCCAATTTTCGGTAATTACAAACTCGTAATACCGACGACAGTAGAAACTGAAAGAAGGCTCCATCATTTTATTTTATACTTTTCTGTTAAGAGCATGATTGTAATTATTTCACATAATTTAAATCATGGTAACTTAAAATGAGTACCAGTTCATTCCCCAATATTAAAAGATGACACAATCTTTTCGTAACATGATTTGTGCAGAAGTTTATATTTACGTTGACTCATTGAAAAGAACAATATACTATTTAAACTAAAGTTGCAGGTATATTAACATTTCGTGGGTAGATAATTAAGAACCCCCCAAAAAATCACGATGTTTGTATTTCTCTAACAAGGAAGATAAAGAAAATAGCATACACTAAACGAGGTTTTTTTTATTCTCGAAGAAAGCATCGCAAAACAAAAGTCGTCACACAAATTTTTAGACATAACTAAGGACATAAATGTAATACCTGACTCAGTTAAAAACAAACTGAATTGCTAAGTATTTCAAACGCGTATAATATAATAATCAAAATAATACTAAAAAATTTTCATTTTCATCTAAAATGACTGAAGATGTAAGGCAGATCATTCAGCTATAGCACACTGACATGATTGTTATTGATCCTTTTAGGTAATGCACTTGTTTGCATTGTCATCAGTAAGAAAAGGGACATGCGCACTGTTACCAATCTTTTTCTTCTCAACATGGCTGCATCAGATATGTTTTCCACCTTGTTTGCGGTACCATCATTATTGGCCACAGAAATCTCCCCTAACCGCTGGCTTCTTGGTGATTTCATGTGTCCCGCCACAAACGTGATTTCTACGATCGCTGTATCTGTATCTATTTATAGCATGGTCGCGTTAGCCCTAGAAAGGTTTGTACATCATTTTGCGGTTACTTTTCAACATTTTCTGGTCTGGGGAGCAGTGACGAGACAAGTGCCGAGCACCATAAAGCTAGGAGCTAGACGACTGACCAGCAAGTCCTCACTCATAAGTTTCGCCTCTCACTTTCCTATCACAACTGGCAAAATTGCGAATTCATTCGAAAAAGGCTTTCTTTGGTTTTCATTCCTTCACTTGTCCTGTTTAACTTCACCCTTCTCCCCTTCGCCATAATTAGTCTATTATTTAATAATGCCTCTCATTCATCAGGTTCATTTCCTTGGTTTAAAGACAGTCTGAAAAAAAGGGGAAAATTTTTCAGCCACCAACTCTGCCAAGGACTCTTGCAACCTAATAGAAAGTACGCTCAGCGAGATTTAATATAAAAACTGAACAGGCCCTTAGGGCTTCAAATGTACGTGGTCACAGTAACTGAGATCCCAGGTCGGGCAGTTTTCCATCACAAGATGAATATTGACGAAATGACTTGGCTTGAGGTGAAACTTCAGTCAACTGGTTTCCTGACATGAACAGTGGGTGGAAAGATTCTATATCTAATAAAACATTTGATATAAAAATAGAGCCGAACACCAGACAAATCCCAACCGCAAGGCGTTGAAAAAATATGTACAAAAATATAAAATGGAGTATTTGCCCGGCCCGTGATTTTGGAACCAAACACCACGAGCAATAAAAGTAAGCTCAGAGGCAGAAGTATAGGTTAGGGGCCATAATATAATTACTGGATCAGATTTATAGAGATCGGAAGACCCACACTTTGTATTTAGGCAACTCTATCTTAGCATCCCAATCAATCGAACGACTCCATTTCATCCAAAGAGGATTAAATGCCCCGTCTTTCATAATAAACCATTTAATCAACAATAACAACTACTTTATTGACTTAATCATCGACATGAAGATTTCAGTACCAAAACAGTCAATATAAAAACAAATAAGAAGGTTAAATTATAGTTCATATTTATAACAATTTAGAATATTCTCAATATAAGAGGCACTAAGATTTATGATGTTTTTCTCTCACAAAGACATGATATATAAAAATAGTACCTTCTAAGACATATTCGTAAAATTACTGCTTATCGAGTATAGGCTCTCCAAGAAGGTGCCCCTTATATGAAAAAGTGGTGAGTGATTACATTTCAACAAATAGTAGAATTCATCACCAATTTCGGATCTATTACAAAGGGGGCAAAGCCTCTGAACTCTGGGTATCTTCTTGTAGCGCCCAGATTCAATAGGTAGCGAGTGGTAAGAAATCCGCATTTTGGTTACTGCCACTCTTGTCTTAACGTTCTTTATCAAATCAAGATAAGTTTCATATCTGGCCTCTGACGGTTTAATCAGCGACGAAATCCTATAATATTTTCATTGTTTTGTCCGCAGATATCAAGCCATAGTTAATCCCTTTACCGTCCGCGCCTCCCGACATTCCTACAAAAGAGTAACGATTGTAATTCTGGCCATTTGGTTGGGGTCCTGTGGTATTGCAGCTCCACAGGCGTGGGTCGTATCTACCACAGGCAGAGCACCTAACAAACACTGCGCTGAAGATTGGAAAGATCACGGAGATGTTACGGGAAATCGAGTTTATACTGTCACTGCTTTTGTCGTATTATTCGTCATACCAATATTGGTGATCAGCATAAGTTATGCTATTATCATGCACAATCTGTGGCAGCCAGAACGTGTACTGACAAACCATCAAAGCCAATCAGTTACAGGCGAAAAAGAACAAGCCTCACCATATAAACTGCCCATTCATGGAACGAAGAAAAAGCGCAAGACAATCTACATGCTTCTAACGGTGATTATTGTGTTTTTAGTCTGTATGCTGCCATTTCAAATTATAATTCTTGTTATTCGGTTCATCGATATTTCCCATCCAGAGGCACTTGCTACAGCAATCAAAATTTCATCCGTGTTGGCTGTTTGTTCCATGGCTTGTAACCCTTTTATCTACAGCTTTTTTAGCGAGAAATTCCGTAGAGCATTTTTGGATGTGTTCAAATGCCAGTGTGAGGATGACAGCCAACTTGGAAACACCCAGTCTTCCATTATCCTGCTAAGTTCTACTGTTTTGCGAAAGTAGGTTCTATGATGATGAGAGGAAGGACAAGTCTTCATACTCACTACTCAAAACTGGGTATTCGACCTGATATCTGATCTTTCGTTTGAACCTAAAGGAAGCCCGAAAGAATTAAACTGTCTTGTGTAACGCATTGATGAAGATAATGTTTTCTCTTGTTATGACCGATCACTGGAGCGAATAAGTCAACGCCTTCGGTAAAATGTTTGCGGTATATTTACTGCCCCCACCTCCCCCCGCCGCAAAATTAAAGCTATTCGTTTTTTTTATTTTCTTCAAGTTAAGGTAGGCTACAATATCATCCTCTAGACTGAGTTTGGTTTCGTTGTTTTCGGTTGGCTTCTGTGGTCTTCTAGCTGTTCCAGGCCTTCAGGTTGTGGGCCGGGATGGCGCAAAGAGATGGGCTGCCGCAAGAGGGAGCCTCTCTACTCCTTTTTTCCCGCTCTCTCACCTGACGAAGCACTCCACTGTGTGAACGCGTGGAAGAGGCCTGGAACAGGTTTATAGTCGTAAGGGGCTGAGCCTGAGTTAACTTGAATAAAGTGCGACCAGTTCTTTTTATTCACTCAGATCTCAGAGAGCAAGAGCTGATTGCTAACTTATACAAATTCGCGTTGCCAGGGACTTGAACAGAAATTAAAACATGATTTACAACTAACAGAAAATCAAATCAAATCCAACACCTTTTATATGAAAAAATGTTAGGAAAAACAGAAGCAATATAATATTGAGTATAACTTTGTTTATTCGTTCTCAAAAATGACATTAAAAACTATTTTCTTCTTAGTAAACTAATCCTTCTAATTTGCTGGTTAACAAGGACACAATCCAGTTTAACGTTGTTGATTCTCTGTCTAATACATAAAAGAAAATGACTTTCTCCTTGAAAAGTGGACCAAACACTTATCAAGTCTAAGGGTTAAACCTCTCATAGTCTTTTCTTTCTCTGAGAATCAACCAAAGAACAAAGCAACTTTTTTATAACACGCTGACTTCACTGTCACAATTGTTTCTTCTTAGCTAATGAAACTGGCAAGAACTGCCGTTAAAAAATATTTGACGGCATACCTAGGACTAACGAAAAAAAGTTAGTAGAAAACAGCAAGACGGAAACTTGAAAGTTCAACTAAGGGATGGACTAATTATATTTGAGCGGAAAAAGCGCATCAATATTTCAAGCACTTTCAATCTTTCGAGCTAATTTCGTGTGCATTGACTTTCTTCAGGCTTCTGCTTTGCATGATATTTTTTCGCGACATTTCAACATTAGCCTAATCCTTTATCCTCTCTTGCCTAATCATAAAGGAAACAGCAGACGTCAGCACGCAGGCTGTTGCACTATGTAAGATTTTTTTCGCTTTTAAAACCCGTGGATATAATTGTCCTTACACATCTGATCATCAAAAGTGCTGTGAAACTTGGAGAACCGTGAACAAAGGAAAATGTAGGAAATGTTATTGTATTGCAAGAAAAAGGCCAACCAGGTGTAAGAAAACTAAACATTGGAATTAATTAGCGGGTGGTCTAGAAGTCTGTTCGTGAGTCCTTTACCTTTCTTGTGACTGGCCACAATACTGTCAATCAAGATCCCTAAAATATTTCAGTTGGTATTCACGGTTTTCTGAGTTTAAGGGTAAATAGTCCATCCCTTGGCGGGAAAAAATCGATGTCCGAGAGCGAAGGGCGGGGTTCAACTACTGTGACTCTAACAACTCGCTTTTTTCCTAAGGAAAAACCCTTGTGGTTGTACTACCAAACAATTTAAAAGATAGCAGAAGCAGAAACAAAGGATGTTCGCTACTTACTGCAGAGCTTTCATTTAAACAAAGCTCCTGTGTAAAACAGTGCTATGAAGGAGATCATGGCAGACAGTAACTCTAACATGTTATTCTTTCCTCCTGCAGTAGGCCGGGGTGTAGTTGGACAAGGTCTCAAGGCCTTCAGGTCTTCCAGATAGTCGGTACCAAGCCATTTTTCGTAGGTGTTCTTGTCCTTAACGTCAACGAGCTGCTTCGTTGAGTCTTTAAACAAGAGATCTGTACCGTTATACTTGGACGAACTAAACAGCTGGAACTGTGTCGGATTGTTTTGAGTGATTTCGGCAACTTTAGAAGCATTTAGCAATAGTCGTTTGTAGTTGGCATTGTTAGCATTTCCTTTTTTCACCATCACGGCATGAGATGGAACTTTTGCGAGGTAACAGTTTTCATACGTATCTGGAAAAGAAAATCACCACTTTTTGATATATTACGTCGACAACAGTGGCCGGGGTCTCTTGTTCTACAAGAAAGTATTGAAGGAGACTTGTTAAACTGCGTAGCACGCCGTGCTACATTAAACCGCAATACCTACCACTGGTAGTTCCATTTTTACACAGATATACATATGAGCTAGCCTCAGCTGATGGCACTGTGGTGTGTTTAACAAACGCTACGTCTCCCACTCCGTCCTTCAAACACTTGAAAGCGCCAGAGTAGCCAGAATAGTAACCTTGTTTGCTGCATTCGTCTATGCACAAAGCGCACAAGTTGTGAGGATTAGTGTCGTCCGGATCGTAAGTCGAAGCTTGGACATCTGTAACCAAGATAAAAGAAAAATGTTACAAACTAAAAAATGGAAAAGTGCTATCCCTACCTAACCAATTTTCAAAGCATTTCACTCCTTGACTTTTGATTGATGGAACTCAGGTCTCAGTAACATAGAGGAAGTAGGTGGATTCTTATCATCCAGCTTGAGCGGTATCCTGAATAGGACTGTTGTTGACAGTGACTGACAACCAGAGCGGTAGTCATTAGGTCACGATGTTATTGGTTGTCTATCATGACAAATATGATGGTCTAGATGTTATTGGCTATAAAAAGGGTAAAGACACACACGACACAAAGGCCCAAATGGCAGTAGCCTGTACACAGACATTGTTTTATTTTTCTTTTCGTCATTTTCGAAAACATCGGCGAGCCAGCCTACCCCTACCTCTACTCCCTTGCGCTGCCGGTCAATAAATCCCCCGCGGTTATTATTTTTTATCACGCGCGCTTGACGAACTTTGAAGAGAAAATCGAGGGCCTGTGAACAGGCTAAAACGGCCTAGCTTATCCTAGTTTCCTTAGTATGAAGCAGCGCCCTCCCCCGCCGGACGAGATTCTAGTCCATCGCAGGGTTACCCCCCAGCAGTATGTCGCCGGTACCCATTTGTACACCTGGGTGAAGAGAGACAAAGTGGAGTGAAGTTCCTTGTCTAAGAAAACAACGCGACGGACGAGGCTTGAACTCCCGACCTCCAGATCCGGAGTTCGAGGTTTTAACCGCTCGGCCACACGCCTCCACCTTATGGTTTATAGAAACTCTAAAAGTAACCGGCCCGTTTTCGATCCGACTTTTGTCACAGTTGAAACAGTCCTGTTATTGTAAGTCTGAATTGTGGGTTCTCACAGTCATTATTGCCAGAATATAAGGCAAGGCCGGTAACTGCTGGTTTGGTTCAGCGACCTTTGCTCTAAGAGAGAGCTAAGTAAACTAGCTTTCTAAAGTGCTTCGTTGGGTTTATAATAGCTTGTTGAATAAGTAATGTATTCAGTAGAGTCCTAGTTGCTACGATGGTTTGTCTGTAATTAGTGTTTAGCAATGTGATTGTCGGCATCATCATTTCTTGTCGCTAGTTTGTGTGAAGACCGTCCAGTGTTAAGCCGCTTCTACCGGTATCACCGACGTAAGTGACTTGGCAATCGTAACATTTGAAGTAACTTTAGAATACCCAGCCAATCCGAAGATAGGTCCTGAATTAAGGAGCTGGATACGCGGTTACTCAATAGCTAGCCTCCCACGCAGACGTTCTTACGGCTTCATCACGTCACGTGTTCCTTCCCTCGCCACGCGTGCGTGGAAGGCAGTTGCTTTCTCTTTGCTGAGTAAATGCTGTCTTACCTATGAAAATACAAAATACTTTTTCCAAGTGAATCCACGAGTACGCATTAGGAAATTGAAGTCTGCTTGCAGTCTTGCTTCCTAGAGTAGGCCCTGTCCCGAGACACAGCTTTAATAGACAGTACGTACCAGTCTATGACACCCTTTAAAAAAATTCAGACTCGGAGAGAATACGTAGAGGAAATGTTCTTACTTGGTACGCAGCTTTCACTGAAAAACTTCCCAGCTGCTTTATAAGCATTGCATTTTTCGTCTGGCTCCATGATATTCGTTGAGAGAAGAAGACCAACAGGTACGTTCCAACCGGATGTTTTTCCTGCTCCAGTGTGGCAAGACTTTTTTCCTTTTAGAGTTTTAAACGTAAGGCTCGAGTTCTTCTTTGCAACCGCCACTGCAAAATAACTTGTGGTGGGGGTCCCAATTTCATAATCTTCACCAACAATGGGAACCATTTCATACTCCTTTCCTTAAAAGATAAAGTCGCGTGAGAAGAGGAAAAATTTACTAAGTAGCGGTAAGCAATTAGAGTGCAGTAAACGAAGAACATGAGAGCAAACGTGTTCATTTCTCAGCTAGGGGCACCCGACGACGGTTTCCTCTTAAGTACTTATACTGAGATTACTAGAAATGTATTCTAAGTGACGCTAAAAATTACTTATCTGTTCTGTCATCCTAAGTCAACGCAACTTGAGTCTTTTCGAAACAAGAAGAGCTTCAGAATTATTTTCCTTATTTTAAAGTTTTACGAAAGTGAGAATTTTTCTATTCCTCTCTGCCTTGCATTTCCGGTTTCGCAACATTTTAGGTTTCCCAAAAATGGTTTAACCTGGGGAGTGAAATGGAAAAAATTAAACTTCAGAAAATCGTAGACTTCGCACACACTATACTTTATTTTCATATTCATCATTTTGCCATCTCCTAGGGAATTCATTATATACAAGAGACTATAAAGGGGACAGAGAGGCCATCCCCCATATACACCCTATTCCATAGGTAATTCGTCTCGAGTTATTTTTAGAATCGGGATAAAGTTACCTCGCGCGAGGCGTGGATGTTTCGTGGAGGTTTCGCATGACCAAACGCCGTGCAAAACATGTCGGGCGAGAGGCAATGAAAGCGTAAAAAGATCGAGAGCATTCCTGAATATTGAAGCGAAATGAGTCGGCGCTCACCTGGGAAAAAGGAATCGCTGGACTCTTTGACAACCCGTGAAATCAGTTTAACTCGAAGTTGTCGTAACCTCAGTGCTTTAATAAAATGAGAAATTTCGCCGGTCTATTGAAACCGGTCGTTTGTACAATTTAGGGAGTTTAAGATCCAACGACGCGGACGACAACTAGAACGTCAAAAAAACAATAGGTTTAATTAGCAAAACAACAACTTCGCACGTGCAACACACTTTTTTGTTCATTTCTTTCCCGTTTTTGCACGACTACGACGTGAAAATGCCTAATTTCGCGTTTTATGGAGGACGTAAATAAGCAACGACGAAATTTTATTTCTCTTTCTGAGCTTGAATATGGTCCCTTGAAATTCAGCTTTAGGAGGGTTCGCCTACAGTTGACAAAGTAGGTGGGTAGGAATAATCGCTATAAAGACTGAAAAAAATAACAGCAAACCAGAAATTGCTCTCTTCAAACTGTAAATTATAAATGATCCTGAGAGAATATTCAGTGTGTTAAGGATTTCCCTGCTCTACTGTTAGCTCTACACAAGAAAGAAAAGCGATTCTTTTTTAATTTCGGTTTCGCTGACACAGCTTTCGCAGAATCTCGCTGTAGTCGTTTTCGTCGACAAAAGGAATAGCAAAATCGCTCTCCGCGTCTTCCCCCATTTTGTTCTGTGTCATTTCGTGAAGGACGCGTGGCTCTCAGCGTGGGTGATCCACGCGGAACACATTCGCGCTATGTGATTGGCTGTTGTCTAATCCCCCTTGAGATCTGTGGTGTTAAAAATAACTCGAGACGAAATACCTATGGAATAGGGTGTATATGGGGGATGGCCTCTCTGTCCCCTTTATAGTCTCTTGTTATATACGATAAGCTTCGAAAATTGTACATGAATGGAACGGTCATCATGAAAGTTTTAGCCTTCCTCAACCTACAGAAAATTCTAGGCAACTTTTGCTTCTCCGAACAGATATTTCACAGAAAACAGTCATTGCATGTCCCTGATTTCTTCTATATTCTCAATATTTGCCTTCCGAATACATTCCCTGATTCGCCATCAAAACATGAAAATTTATATTATTACCGTTCTGCAGACTTTTAAGTAAGGATAATATCCGGGATATGGCACATGTATGAAAGAATCATTTAGATACTGATACAGTATATGTACCCCGCTAGGTTGAGCACTTGTCTTAAAAACCAACAAAAGAGCTTTATCCACTTGACAGTTTATTGTTATGTTACATATGTTCATATTCCGCGTTCGTCAGTGTAAGACCGTTCAAATTGGAAAATCCGCAGCGCCGCTTTGAAGATGTGTTTATAAATAACAAAAAAGAAAATATGTCGAATTGGAACAAAGCTTTGACGAAAATCACTAATTTATATGATAAAAGGATAAAACGTTTGAAAAATTTGTCGAAAACCTCACCAAAGATGTTTGAAATTGCAAATTTTGCAATTTTCGGTTAACTTGTAAATTCCGTAACGCCAATTCTTTCGATTTTTGTTGTTACTTATATAGCAAAGAGATAAAAATGGTGTAAAATTTAACGAAGGCAGTCCTTGTTACTAGGCTCTCAAATAACTAAATATTTCGGTTAAGTTTTCTAACAAAGTTTGATTACCTGCGGTAAAGATTTCTCCGCCATCAAGAGTTATCAGATCAGCTTTGTCACTCTTAATTTTCTCCATACAGTCCACAGCCTTACTCTCCTGAACGCAGGAAAAATCGACAGATACTTTCGCTTGTGAAGCCAATGTCTTTATAGCGTCTTTAAAATCATTACATTTGGATGTCTCCTCAGCTGAAATTGTGCACCATCGCATTTCAAAACCTTCTCCAAGGCCCGCTGTAAAGATGAAAATATCAACAACTAAACGTAGGCGAATTCGCAAATTAAAAGAAAAAAATCATACTGGAAAGACCTCTTGCTGAACACCTTTCCCCATATAGAAATAACAATTATCTGTAATATTTTCTACTGGGTTACATTTAATTTGCCACCTGATTTAAGGCAACTGATTTGGTCTTGGATTTGAACTAGGAATTTGTTCACTTCTTCCAATGAGAGAGCGGTTTTTGACTCTTGTTTCTAAGGTATAAGTTTGCAGAATAGGTATGTATAAGTCAGCATAGGTTAAAAAAAAAGTTAAAGGCTTGTTTATAGTGGAAAGAGCACTTAGCTTATCCAGCTAATTTACAGGCACTCCACTCAAATATTAGAAACAAATAATTCAAATACAGCATAACAGGATTAAAAAGCCCAACTGGCAGAAGGCAACCAGTTGGCTATTTACAAGCGTGGCCGAGAATTTGAACTCGGGACGGCCGAGCACAAATCCAGCAAGTGGCCAGAGCGGGACTCGAACCCGGGATCGCCGGATTGCGAGTCCGACGCGCTGACCACTCGGCCACGCTGCCTCCTGTCAAGGGCATAATCTATTAAGTCAGTTTCCTGCTCTTTAATCCTGTCGTTATCATTACTACAGTACTATTATCTTGAAGATAATGATGTGAACTGCGAAAATATAAATTTACATAAAAATATGATCACCGCGGTCAGCGGTGCTTGGTCCACAGTTTCTCTTCAAGTCGTTCTCCAGTTCCATCAGGAGTTCCTCAGGGCAGTATCCTTGGTCCTCTGCTGTTTTTAGTATATGTGATCTATCTCCCGCTGGTGATAGAGAATCGTATCGCGCTCTTCGCTGATGACTCAAAATGTTCCAGTGTCATTGAAAGTCTACAAGATTGTGAGTCACTCCAAAAAGACCTAGACTGTCTGCATGGCTGGAGCGAGGATTGGCACCTAAAGTTTAACATCTCTAAATGTGAGGTACTAACCGTCACACGTAAGCGCCACCAGGTTTCGCTTCGATTACAAGTTGAACAACAACTCACTTAAACACGTCACTCAAGTAAAAGACCTTGGAGTGACTATCTCGCCGGACCTCACATGAGACACTCATGTTAACGCTGCTTAGCTAGGGCCAATAGGATGCTCGCATTTTTGCGCTGCAATAGTGTTATGTCATTCACTACAGACCATAGGAAATTACTATATCTCACGTTTGTAAGATTATATATTGGCTATGCTAGCGAGGTGTCGGCTCCCAGTACGATACGTACTATAACCTAAATAGAGAGTCTTCAACGCAGGGCAACAAAATTCATCTTAAACACGCACTGGCAAGAGGATATTTCTTATCATGAGCGCCTTTCTCGCCTCAATCTGCTACCGTTAACAAACTGGAATGAAGTGAAAGACTTAATTTTTTATTTCAAGTGTCACGCTGGCCATTACATCTTACCCATAGATGATTAAAGCTCCTTCAATTTAGTTACTTTAACAGAATTGCTAAACTCTGGAATGACAGAGAACCTGACCTGAATCCACTCGTACTCTTACTTCTCTTAATCAGTTTAAATCTCACGTACTACAACGCTATTCGGCTGCTTATCGTATAAACTATGACGTCACTAACTCTTTAACACCTGGAAGTCGATCTGCTGCAAATGCAGTGGCTCACGTAATCTTCTATTAGCTGGCAACTGCTGCTACTGAGACTTTTTATCGGCTGCGAGAGTGATTCGTTCTTATCGTTTTTGGAAATAGGATTTTATACTTCTCATAATGTTTTAATGTTTAGCTAATGTTTACATAATTAGTATTTGTGTATTCTTCTTAAGGGCACACTTAATTTGGAGCCTCGTTCTGTTGTGTGTCCCGCACCTTCGTCTCTCGTTCTTGTGACTTGTTCAAATGTATTTTTTCCCTGTTCTTATTTTAGCATTGTAATCATGGTGAAAGCAATTAAATAAATAAATAAATAATGATAAATAAATAGATCGTCGCAGTTGTAATAACAATTTAAGCAACTGCAAATTAAACCGAAAAAGGAAAAGCTCAGGTTAACGGGATTCGAAAATATTCCCTCTGTGTTAGCGCTGCAGCGCTCCATCTACTGAGCTTCGTGAAGATCCATACAGTGGGAACAGGCCTCTTTGTTGAGCTCAGCTAAACCCGGCGGGATTCGAAACCATGGCCTCTGCGTTAGAGCTGCAGTACTCTTTTGTACGATTCAAGATCCAAGGGAGAGCTCTGTCCAATTTTTATAATTTCGACGCTTTTTTATTGAATTTAGCATTTATTAAGATATAAGATATACTATATTAAGATTTTATTGTTATAATTTTAATTATAGAATATTCCATATCTTGTTTTTTAACTCTTAATTTTATTGTGTTTGTGGAATACCTGTAAATTAGCTGGCGTGCTTTCACAGACCCCGATTTCGGTTCCGTCTGTGAAAGCACACCATTATTGTAGCTAAGTGTATTTTCACAATAAACTCTTATTGTATTGTATTGTATTGTATTGTCTGTTGGATCCTCGCATGGTTCGATGTTAGGCCCACTTTTTCACCTCATGTTTACTTCACCACTAGCTAATGACATCAGAGTTAAGTGGTTAATCTTAACTATCATCTATATACTGATGATAATCACTGAACCCTTGAATGCTGCTGAGGTCAATGAAGCAAAGGAACGTATTAAGAACTTGGTGGCTGCTTTTTGCCTTCGTGTTGTTTTGATGAGCAAATGCCGAAAAAGGAAAAGTTTTCCAGGGAACCCGATGAGGTGGTAGTTAAATTGCAATCCCTCATTGTTTGGATGTCCTAAGTACCAAATAAGTGAAAGAAAAAATCAAAACAAAACAAAACAGCTGCTAGAATTGTTACTCAAGCAGGAAATTTCAACACACCACGCAGTGGGTAGAGGGCGAAAAATTATAGAAATGGTGACCTGTGAGAGACTATGCTAAGCGAACCGGCCACTTTTGAATCAAATCCAACCGAACTGAGCAGATAAATGGATTTATGAACAGTTTACTTTATTCCATGTTTTGGAACAGTTTCCTACCGTCGACATAAAGAGACCTTTGGAACGCTAACTCAAACGTGATATTTCTAACCGTGGAGCCGCTTTTCGTCACTTTGAAACTGAACGTTTGGATTTGTCAAATTTTTACGTTTTAGTTTTGTAGGGGGTGTGTTCGAGCAACTCGCTCGCTACACGAGAAGGTACTGAGAGTCTACTTCATATTTTAGCCTCTATTTTTCTTTGACTACTGCTCCTAGTACTCTGAACTCTCGCCTTTTTAGCACTCTAACTCTCTCTAGTAACAAGTCAACTAGTAGTCGTTTTTATAGCCAAAGTTAGCTGACTGTGGGAATAAAAACTATGCAAACGGTTGTGGTTTTAAATGTTTTAGCATAACTGAATGTACACGGCTGCGTTCGGCAAGAAGTCCGTGACCCTGCCCGTGAGTAGGCAATGAGGAAACTAAAAAGCTGATTAACAAACCCAAACAAGAACTTCAACAGCACTAACACGACCACCTGTGATACGGGCGAGCCAAGAATATTCCAAAAATGGAATTAAATTAATTCGCGAGCTGAGCATAAATTCAATTAGGAGTAGAATGATACGATACAAAATCCAGACTGACCTCGAACCACTTAATATAACCTTCAAAATACTCCACAACTGCGTTATTATTTTATTTTTTATGTTCTGTCTCTGATGTTCTGTTAGGCTATAAAACAAACAACTTTTTTCAGTGCACATTATTACGTCAAAACTTCAAGGAGTAAAAGGTAGACAGTAGACTGAAAACAAAAATGAACTGAAATATTTCACGCAGCCCGTAGTAAAAGCTTCAGCTAAACGAGGCGGGGGTGAAATGGAAAAGACAGAAAAATAAGAAAATCTAGTGGTAATCATAATTTTATGTAGACTGAACTAAACTTCTAGTTAAGCCGGGCTTAGATTACGTCAGTGATGCAGGCAAAGTGATACCACATATGTATGGCGGCGAAATGATTTACTTAGAAAAGTTGAATTTGTCAAACGAGTTCCACTTATTTTCTTAAGTGGTAGTCTTTGAATTAGCATATCGATTACAACATACTCGTCCCTACCCAAAAGAGCATCGAGGAGAAATCTGCCTATTTTTCTTTTAAAAAACGGATTTAGTGGGGTATCTCTTCGGTCAGATGGAATTTGTTTCCATACTTTTGCTCCAGTTCTTGAAAATAAGAGTTTGAAAATTTCCAACTTAGCTTCTTAAGCTTTCTTTCTGCGGGACACCAATAGATTACGGACACCATGGCATGTACTTCCCCCAGTGTCCTTTTTAACCCCATTCTACAGTAATTACCTTTGGTAGCATTCCTAGTATTGAATCTGTAAATTTCATTTGACATAGTGAGCAAGTCCTTCCAGGTAAAATCTTTGCTTTTTATGAAAAAAGGAATATAACATATCCTTAACTGGGAACAAAATAAATCAATCGATGGGCACGTCGGATGAGAAGTTTGTTGACTGGGTACGATATGGCTGGAATCATCAGCAGAGTTTGGCGGGGAACAAAGTGTCATAATCTTGCTAATTAATATTCCAATAGTCTTACCAATTTTAAGGAAACAAATCGATATGATGTTTGCAATTTAAGTAACTATCGATGACGATTATTTCGTGAACTAGTTGTATTTTGCCCCAGTATAGTAACTGATATTTATGATAACTGCTGCATTAAAGAATGGCCGATAATTTATGAATAAAAACAGATCTCCTAATGACTATATACAAGGAAACAAACGCCTTTCTACTTTAAACGTACTTAATATTTTATGGACGTTTTCCTATTTTTTCAAGTATTTTTTTAATGATCGAGTAAAATGATGCAGGATGTAACAAAGACCTGTAAGGAAGCTGTTATTAATGAATCCACTAAGAATAAGAAATATTCTAAAAATTTTGAAAT